CTGTCGAGCATAGAGATGCTCTGAGCCCTGTGAAGAACTAATATCCCAATCTATAGATCTTTACCAAATATACAAAAAATTGACGTTCTGATCAAGAATATATTTATGTATGTATATATTTTTCCCATTTTCAATGCGTTCAAGCTACAAAAATTGTTATACAAAATACATATACAGCTCATCGTCCTGATCGAGAATATATATGTATACTTTATGGGGTCTGCACGCCTCCCATCCTGTTACATACATTTTCACAAAACCATTATACCTTGAATTCCCTTTTTTAATTCGTTCAGGGTAGAATACGTAAAAGCACGGAAGTGCCAGACTTTGATATACCATAAACTTCTCTATGCAGAGCTGAAGTTGCAAAGCTTTTTGGGCATATAGAATATAGGTACAAACACAAAAACACATTTGCCCCTGTATACAAACATGCATATGAACACATTGTGCAGCGAACTAAATTCGTGGAAAATAAGCATTATTAAAAGGGGAATTAGACGATTCAAGCAATGAGAGATAAGTTGAGAGCACAGTAACTTTTTAAATAGAGTTAGAAGTTGGGTTATGCCCCAAAAATAAAATATATATTTTAAATGCATATTTCTCCTATAGCACAAATCTGATTTGAAAAGCGCAGTTAAATACATTAATAAATTACATTAAATATTGTAATTCAAAATAAAATGTAAAAAAATATGCAATATATTTACATATTTCTAAAACTGAAATCCGATTTTTGTTTCAATCAGCTTAAATTGTAGTATAAATATTATTATCAATTTGAAGTTACTTCACTTTATTAAGTTTGTAAATTATTCATGAAATATATATTAGTTACGATTGGCAGTTAACTTAATCCCACCTCAAATTCGTATTGGTTTCTATTGTAGAGAGGGATGGCAACAGTGCAGTCACGCTTAGCCAATCAAGCACAGGAAAGAGATGAATAATACTGTAATTCTTGCTTTCCAGCTCGCACACCAACGAAGCAGCTAAGTTGTATGGTGTCCGAGGTGCAGCAGTCATTAAAACATGTATTTCGAGCTCAGTCTTGTCAGTTAAAACGTTGAGGCCGCCGAGAGAACATCGTTAATTATTTGTGAAAATCAAGTGGATACAAGATATAAAACACCGTCGCAATGCCACGTCCATTGAAAGTAACTTATGGTGACCAGAAACCTCCGTATTCATATATTTCTCTGACTGCCATGGCAATCATGCATTCACCACAGCAAATGTTGCCCCTTAGTGACATCTATCGCTTTATTATGGAGCAGTTCCCCTATTACCGCAATAATATACAAAAATGGCAGAACTCATTACGGCACAATTTAAGTTTCAACGATTGCTTCATTAAAGTGCCCCGTAGCATTAGCAAAGTCGGTAAAGGCTCTTACTGGTCTCTTCATCCTAAAGCTATTAACATGTTTGAAAACGGCAGCTTGCTAAGACGACGAAAACGATTTCGAGTGAAAAAAGATTTATTCGATTCACAGCTAACAACAATTACTGCATATAGTAAATTCGCCACTGAACAAGCCAACGAGCCAACGAATATAAATAAAATATCAGATGAAAACAACCCCAAATTCAACAGAACCAACGCTTCAAAACGAGATCTAGCCGAATCAACGTTAGTTTCATTAAATGAAAATGAAATTGAAAATTGGCAGATGGAAGCCATTTCACAACGTCCAAAGAGAGCATTCACAATAGAGAGTCTTATGGCCCCAGACATAAAAACGAACTATCAAAAAAGATTGGCTCAATTCAGCCCACCTCAGAGAGAAGATACGATCCACACAGATGACATCAGAGCAGAACAGTTAATTCTTCTAAACCTTAATCAGTTTGTGGCACAACAACAACGCCTATATATGCGAACACTATCTTATCCCTTTTATAATGAACAACATACAATAAATGATTTCTACAATTATAAACATAAAACAGTATTTAAACTGCGAAACCCTTTCTATGGACCATTGCCAGTGTATTAAAGAGGTATATTATTAATAGAGGCGCAAGAAATAAATAAAAAAAATACCGAGATTAACCCTTGGCATATCCTGGCGAACATAATTATTCTAGACCCAGCGAACCCTATTTATAATAATTTCTATCATCCGAACATCCACCAGTATAATAAATGCAATCAAAATAAATAAAAATAATTAT